TAATCCTGAGATAACTGCAAACCATCTTCGTAGTTCAATGCGGTCTCATATTCGTCCATTGTAGGTGTCCATTCTTGATCATACCCTTGTTGCTGTACTTCCTCTTGTTCCGGTTCACTTTCAATATGAAAGTTCCTTTGGGCCTTGTATGGTATCTGGTGAAAAGTATTGGATGGTCTTTTCTCCCCTGGTTTGCTCGGTCTTGGTCTGTTCATGTAGTTAATTGCCTTATAATGTATGGAACGATCGACATCCATGGGTTCCGGTTTCGGTAATGGCTTTGGAGCCACTGGGCGAGAAGGCGTTAAGGTATTTTTAATTTGAGGGAATGGTTGACCTGGCGGTTGGCCGAATGTGGGGTAGGATTGAGAAAGTTGTTGCGTATTCCAACCAAATTGAGCAGGTGGGAACCTTTGTTGGTATTGTGTCATATTTCTAGGTGGTAGGGGTGGAGGGGTTAGTTGTGAATAATATGATCCGGGAATATTGTAGGACGCTCCGGTATTTAAAAGCGTATTCTTTTGTGCATTTAATTTTAAAGGAGCTAAAACTACTTGTCTATTTAACCCATTGTGAGGTGAAAAATTTTGCTGATTCTCAAGGATTTCACAAATATGAAGTGTGTGGGAGGTCCTTTGGTTCTTTCACTGCTAGAAGCCTTGGCATATCGCCGTTTAGTCCATTTATGAAATCGTCTCTAGCTTTTTCTCTATACATGTAAGTCAGGACTCTAATAGCTTCCGGACTTTCCTCCATGCAGGATATTTTGTTCAATATCAGGGAGAGGTGTGAATAGACTCGTTGATAAAAATCCCTAATCGATGGTTCAGGACCAGGCTGCATAGCTGGTACTCTAGAGTTTTTAAGTCTCGTTTATCGGCATAGTGCCAAGTTAAACAAGAGCGAAAGGCCGTCCAATTCAGTGAGATATTGTACGATTCTAACACTTCGTCTGCATGACCTACGATTTTGTTCCTTACTGCCATAAGTATACCGAAGTATTTTGGTGTTCCCTGATGCTGTCTATAGTACTCTAATAGCCTCTCTACACTTTTTTCCATGAACTAAATTCACTCAGGTTTCCTGAAAATTCACGGATAGTCCTGGCTATCTCTGGAACACGGTCGAAATCCGTGCTTCCTTGAGCAACTACAGGCTCATCACTCGAATTGAGAAATTCGTGGTTTGGATTCACTATATCATTTACTAGTTTCTGTCCCTCACTCTGAAAAACTGTTCGGACTATCCTGCGGATAGTCTCTTCTAGTCCTGTCATAGCACTGGTCTGGAGGGTCAGGAAACTGACGGTATGTTAGCCTCAGACATTTTGATTGTCAAGTTATTCACACTTTAATTATTATTTTTTGTTTATAATCCGTTAAGTTGTTTTTTATAGCTATGTTATTTAAGAAATTTCACAAAAATTTTAATTTCATAAAAATTACTATTTGATTTTTTGTCACATAAACTAATTTATTGTGAATATTATAAATATTTTTTCCAACGAAATTCCCTTCGTAGTACTCAAACAAAAGTGCTGTGCGCAAAGTGTAAAGAGTTTTATCACTTGCATTGTGTTGGTCTTAAGCCAGCTGATCTCGAATTTCTGACATCTTCCGCTAAGCCGTTCTTTTGTAACGATTGTATGGATGAGCGCCGCTTTTCTAGTCGCTCGCCTCCGCCCTCTGCTGGTCTGAAAGAGATCTTTGCCGCTCAATCTGGAGTCAATTCTAAAGGCCTGATTATGCATACTTCGCGTAACTTCGCAGAACCTTTTGTACCAGTGCAATAGAAATGTAACTTAAGAAAATGTGAAGCAAAATCTAAACTCAACAGATTGCTAAATTTATAAAAGTTCTGCTAATTTATGAGTAATGGAATACATACAAAATATGTACATACGAAATTACAGTTTGAAGTTTATGCAAAGTTGCGCGAAGTATGCATAAGTAGACCATAACTTTATTAACTCTTACAATCACAAAATGGTTGAAAATTCTAAAGAACAATCTGATATACAAGTTACATGGCATACTGTTGTAAAAGAACCACAGTATACCAGTAGAAAAGGTTTTTGTTTTTGTAGCTGTTTCGTGGTGAAAGTCCTTTATGGGGGCCAAATTTCCCCACAAGAAATTGAGCGCATGGTTGCTTTTGCATTCCAAAAGAACGAATATTAGAAAACATTAAAAAAAGTCTGAGATAATACAATTATATTCTACTAGAAATAAACTCGATAGTGTGCGCTAATTAGATAATGTGATAATCATGTTTAAAAACTCTTTTCAAGTCTTATTTTTCAGAAAATAATTGAGCGCTTATGTTGTTTACCAAGAAAATACACCCCTGTTGGTTTTTATTTCTGTATCGCATCGCGGTGAGTTTCTATTTCTTGGTAATTCGGTTTGTGAAATGGTAAACAAATTATTGAAATTGATTTGATGTGTTTAACATTTGATTAATGCAATTTTCTGTCTTTTCAGACTATTAATTACAAGCACAGCATCATCAACGGTGATTGCAAGAACTACTGCAATCCCTGCGGTTTTTCCTCTTGGTAAATGCGTTCTGGTCGTGACCAAGGGTGGTCTCTCAATCGGCCGGGAATAAGGTTAGTCATTTTCAATTTTATATCTTTGTTCATCGACTTTATATGACATGTCATCATTGCAGGCTATTGTTGCAGAACAAAACGCCACAACCACTGATGTGGTAAATATGTAATGATTTCGATAGCTGAACTAACGCCATCTCCTGGGCATTCCCACATGCCGACAATAGCTATTATATCACGTGTGAATGCAACTGCGGCTAAATTTGGCAATTTTGTCATTGGCAAAAACACTAAGGGCTGCTGGCACATAGAGGTTATAAAGTTTTTGGAATCGATAAACTTACTCGAAGAAGACGATGGTCGAAAACATATGATGAAACATCTTCTGGCATGCCTTTGACAATCGTTATGTCAGACGGAGGCTTCACATACGATATTTCACACATGCCTGGAATTCGTTAGCGGACAGAGCACACATTTACAAAATATTTATCGTTCTGCAGAACGTGCATGCATATTCGATTCCGATTTTATGGGTCGATTACGGAGGACAACCGAACTTCAGTTGGTTGGCCAGTGGCTGAAATGGTATTACCGATGGCAACTAGCAACTGAAAGCTGGTAACTGAGTTGCTATATAGGCACGAACTAAGCAAGGCTGCCATAGAATCCATCGTAGTCCGATTTTTCGTGAAATCTACGAAAATGCTATTAAATTCGAGTAGCTACGAACGCAGTGCTTGCTTTCAATACACACGTTCATAGCAGTTCAGATTCAGTGATCGCTTTTTTGTAGATTTTATGAAAAATCGGACTACGTTGGATTCCGCCTCCAATATATTTTCTCCTTTGACAAGATGTTGGAGAATCGCGGCAGCACAGCCCTATACCTACTCTATGCTCTTACGCGCTAAATTTCTCGCACCTAGCTAAAGTGCTTGACAAAGGCAGAAGGCATATCTTCAACATTATAACTTAAAGTAAAAGAGTTTAAGATATGCAATAAAAGAATACAAAAGAACCAAAACATCTCAAAACTATTAAACATAAAAAATTGCACAAATAAAATTCATAATTTAAAATAAAATAAAATATCGCTATTGTTTTTTATATATACATACATATTTACAAAACGAATCTTAAAGCACCCCCAGTAAGTCCTAAACATATAAATGACTAATAAGAAAAATAATAAAAAACAGTAATGTGAACAAGTATGTCGAGAAATCTCTAAATAGTAGCGAAACTGTATCTGAATAATAACAAGTAATTTTGAGCAAAAAATACAACCGACTTTAATGCTCATTCAGGTCGTTCTGGTTACGTAGATCCGACTGTCCTCCCTTTTTTTAAAATCGTTAAAAAAATGAATACGTATTCTACAGAAATCAATATACATATTTAAGGATTATAAGTAAAAATAAACAAAGGAAAACTTGTTCGTGATATCTCGACCAAAGTGTATCCATGATACAAAAATCTGAAGGTAAAACCGCTGAGAGGCAGCCTGAACATTTTTGAAGTTTGCTAACATTACCAAAATGTTTTCAAATTTCCAATCTCACAAATAAATTCTCATTTTCAGTCTCAAATAAATGAAATTTTCAATATTTTCATCTATTTGCTTTTTGTTTTACTTTTATTTGGCATTTGAGTTGCTCTCAAAATTTCAATTTTATAAAATAGACAAACTTCAAAAAATAAATGATGGCCGACGAATTGAGCAAGCGGTTTTACCTTTAAATATTTGTATCATGGGTGTATTAAACAAGGTGTTATTGACAACTCAGTGCGGCTCTCTTAAGATACTGTAATGAAAAAAAATAATATACTTCCTCTGTAAATATTTTATGAAGTGTCCAAAATTTGCTCCGAGTGCGTTCACTGTTGATAATTTGATTTAAATAGTTTGTCATACAATTAATACTATAGTTTGCTCGGAGTTAATATATTCTTCAGTAATTAATTATATTATATTAAAACATAATGGCTTTATTCATAAAAAGTAAAGTAGGTTTAAAGAGCTTTCAAAGTGACGTTTCCATATATTTTTCAGTTTACAAACCTGTTTTAAAGCTACTTTATTTTTTATTGAATAAGGCCATAAGCTTATAAGAAATTATTTAGTCTTAACATGCATATTTTATATCGTGTTCCAAAATTCGCTCCGAGCGCGTTCACTATTGATCTTTTGATTCAAATATTGTTTGTCAAGCATTCAGTAGTGAAGTTTGATCGGAGTTTATATATTCTTCAGTAATTAATCATATTACATTGAAATATAAACGTATAATATGGTAGAAAGTTAGAAAATAATTAGTCTTAATATGCATAATTCGCTCCGTGCTCCAAAATTCACTCCGAGTGCGTTCACTATTGATCATTTGATTTAAATAATTATTTGTCAAGCATTCAGTACTATAGTTTGATCGGAATTTATATATTCTTAAATAATTGATCACATTTTATTAAAATATAAACCTTAAATAGGGTACAAATTGTGAAATTATTTGGCTTTAACATGTATAGTCGGCCAGAGACAATTGCAGAAAACTGCAACTACTCGTGAAAACTTACAATAAAAGCAATGTAGATGAAGGTAATAAATTTTATTATTAAAATTAGATCCATATATAACACATTTTACATCATTTATTTGAAGTAAATCGGAATATATTTTTACATATAAGATAGTTTCCATTTAACTCATAAGGTACATATTTCACAACAAATATTTTTAAGATCATTTCGAATTGCAAAAATTGCGCTAATTAGTTGGATTGAAGTATAAAATATTTTATTACGTTCATGTTTACTTATAAAGGGCATAACAATATTTCTCTCGCTATTTATCCGATGTTAAAATTTTTCACCACATTATTTTGCTGCGCAGCACCCTAAATGCGGCAAAACAGTTGCTCGTAACCCTCAAGTCCTTTATGGGGACCAAATTAACAGCCACAATAACAAAAACCTTTTCTACTGGTATACTGTGATATCAACACTAACATCGGAAATAAAAAATCTTCGTAGCATTGTTGTTGCCTTTAATAAAGCGGATCCAACTAAACATATTGGTGCCGCTGGTACAGCTAGTCAGCCTCACGATTGAGAGAAATAGAGATTGCGCCAATCGCGGTACCGCTAATCCGCTCTTTGTGATTTTGACAGAATGAGCTGTGTGCGTGACGTCATCTTCGTGCAATTGTTGAATGTGAGCATACGAAAAAACCAAATAACAATTTTATTATTTGTGCGTTAATATTTCTGCGTGCTTTTAAACAATTATTGAGACATTAAAAAGCAAAATGAAGTGTGCAGTGGCAAAGTGTAATAGCGAAAACAAAAAGGAAAGCGTGCTATATAAGTTTTTTTTTTCGTTTCCTATGGACGCAAACCTGGCGAAAAAGTGGAAGCAGTTCTGCCGGCGAGGACATGCATTAAACACCAAATCGAGCTTTGTGCTATGGGTGTGAGCTATGAGCTTCTACATGGAACTATGTTGGTCTTTCCTTGGTGAATTGTAGTACGTATATTTCCATGGTTAATGTAGACAGTTGCTGGTTTAGTTTGCTGGCAATGGCATACATACAAAAGCAGTTTATACAGTTAATAGATACATGAACTTCACTACCTACTAATTTTTGTTAGTACCTGATTCTTTTAGTGCTGGTATGAGGTAATGCACCAGTGGATAAGGTCGCCAGGCGCTAATTCAAGCGGCATCTTACCGCGCTGTTTCGTACCTAATACAAAACAGTGCCCAAATTATTATACATTTAAAAGTTCAGCTTAAATCATGTTTTACTGACAAAGAATATCTGCTTCCAAAGAAGCCACACTCTTGCATCCTCTCGGAAATGGTACAAAAGTCATCAAATAAAAGCTGTGGAGTCAACAGCTGTGGAGTTTATGGTGGTTGGCTACCGTCCACAAATATAAATATGCACTCTGCATGGCTTTTTAAAATGGCAAGTCCAAAAATTCACTTTGCTGCTCACCTTCCTTTTGGTCTACATGAAATTGAAAACACTGTTAATACATCAATTTTTTCATGTGCTAAAAATCGTACTTATCTAAAGGACTACATGTCCAAAATTATTGCTACGTGTTCCTAATTAATCAATCTTTGTATATTTATTGATTCCTGCAAAGTTGGGCCAAGTAGTATTAAAATCAACACATTTTTCTGCATTGTTTACATATTTTTATATGCGTTTTGGCATTTCTCTCTCGCAATTGCACAAAGATGACGTCACGCAAAAATTACGCTCAAAAATCCTCTCTCATTGGCGCAATCTTGTATTCTATCATTCTTGAGTCAGCCTACTGTGAGTACTTCTCTCTCATCTTCTACACCATACTCTCTGTCCACCTCTATGTATGGCTTTTCGCCTGCTGCTTCTAATTCTTTTGCTGCTGACTGCTCTGCGCCGCCGTCAGCAGTGCCTTATGCTTGAAACACAATACCCGGCGAACGGCAAATTTCGCCCAGCAGAGCGATGCCGACGACCAACTTTCGCCCAGCTAATTCGCTTACTGAAACACAAATAGAGCGGTATCGAGCGGTTCGAATGCTGTCAGCTGATAAGGTGACCATATTTCAAGAAGGAAGCTTTTACAACGAAGAGGGAAAATACCAGCAAGAAGAAGTTTAAAATATAGAAATAGTCTTTAAATATAACTACTAGTAAACTTACGTTTTACTAGATTAATCTCAGGTAGCAAAATATAAGGTATATTATCTTACTTTTAAACAAAAATTACGATAACTATTAAAGTATGGTCATCATGGCCTTTTTTCGTCGTTGCCGTTGACCGCGGCGATAGAAATAAATCTATCGTCGCGAACAGTCGTCGAGCAAACTTCGCCGTTTGCTTTGGTTGTGCGTGTTCTCATATAAATCAGTGTGTTTTAATTATCTCGGCGAACATTCGCGACGAAAAATTTGCCGTTCGCCGGTGTTGTGCTTCAGCTTTTATGCTTCTGAGAATGCAGAAAGCGTGCGGACAAACACGAGTGTTACTTTTGATGTACCCGTATCGCGTCAGATGGCTGCGCCGCAATCTACTCAAACTGCCATAGCTAATACTGCACACTCAAGTACAGCGATATTATAACCACCCTGGTGCTGCTGCAAAAAAGCCAGTTTCGTTG